TTTCACTGTATATATATATATAGAAATTGATATTGATTTTCTCCTCCTAATTCTCAATTTTTCCAAATTTCTCTTCTTCTACCTTCTTCCCCCTCTTCTTCTTTAAATTCTCGCGTTCTCTTATACTCGGTATGCAGCCACTGGATTCCATTGTATTCAGCTTCTCGATCTGCATCACATTTCATTTGATAAATATGAACCTGTTGCAAGTCTTGAATGATTGGTGAATACCATCTTAATTGCCCGTACGTGAGGTTTCAAGTGTAAATTATCTTACATATGAGAGTCAACTTTGTTGGAAGTTCAGAATGGTGACAGCAACTGAAAAGAAAATTGATTTGGGTGTCTAAAAGTGAATAAACTACTTTCCTTTGGTTCAGGATATTCTGAGAAGTAGAGAAGCTGGTGAGTTCCTTAGTGGTGCTTTAGCAGGGGCCATGACCAAAGCCATTCTCGCTCCTCTTGAGACCATCAGGTTTTCTGTTTCCCCTTCCCTGATTCTGCTTCTAGTCGTTTTTTCTTACCCTATAGATGAAGCAACTTACATTATAGATTCATTTAAGTAATGTTATTTGATCAATTTTTAAAGGAAAGTTCATTTCAAATTGTTCACAGTTGGAAGGTTAGAGGCAATATGTTGATGATTAGAAATTCAGGAATGGTTTCTCATGGTACATACCCCATTATGCTTGAAATGACGCAGTTCTTTTCTGCAGTGTGAATTTGTATGGAGTTCCATGCTAGCGTGAATAATTGCTTTGAGATACTTGCTGTTCCCCTCTGTCCTGTTGAAACAAATGCTGACTGATGAATATTCATTCATAGCATTGCAGTATGTCAACTTCCATTGGCTTAGAATCCATTTCTCTTTTTCGAAAACTTTTAATGCACTTTAATTTTCTCTGTATTTACTTGCTTTTTTGGAACTAAGTTCTTCCAGAATTTTCAATTCAATTCCAGCGTCAAGATGATGCTCTTACCCTCTTTAATTTGCTGCTTTAAATTGGCCTTTTCCAGTTATGTTTATTTGAAGCTCACTGATTTCACGGCAGTTTTCTAGCGTGAGTGAATGCTATTGTCTTTGAGACATCTAGGAAAATTTATAACACTGTTGAAAAGTTATTGGTCTTTGACATGTTATTGACATGTGATTGATTTATGTCATAACTCTACTATTATCTTGTGGTAGACCTTATTGTAAGGTGTCACCACCTTGAACTCAGTTGAAATATTTGAACCCATCCCACTTACTGAAGAAATTATCTCATGATTCAAGCTTCCTTTTTGGTTTTTGATTTTTCAGTTGATGGTCGACATTATGTGAAGTGCTTTTGCTCGTCTTATCGATATAATTTATGTCATGCAGCACCTTCCAGAATTCTTTTGTCTTCTCTAATAATATGAAATTCTCAGGACGAGAATGGTGGTTGGTGTGGGGTCTAGAAACATATATGGTAGTTTCATTCAGATTGTTGAACAGCATGGTTGGAAAGGCCTGTGGGCTGGAAACGCAATCAACATGCTGCGCATAGTTCCCACCCAGGCAATTGAGCTTGGAACATTTGAGTGTGTCAAGCGTACAATGACATCATTACAAGAGAATTGGAATCAGACTGAACACCCACAGTTGCAAATTGGTCGTGTCAGTTTGAGCTTTTCTCTCTCTTGGCTCTCTCCGGTTGCCATGGCTGGTGCAGCTGCTGGGATTGTTAGCACGCTTGTATGCCACCCGCTTGAAGTTTTAAAGGTATGCATGTTTGGGATTTGCTTTCTTGGAAGAAGTTGGTTGGTTCCTCAATGATTGAAATATTCTATCAATGTTGAAATGAATGTTTTGGTTTGATTTGGTATGGTGCAACTTGGTATGGTTTGACGGAGCTGGAATGATCTGAAGTTTAAATAGAATTGGGTCCTTAAGTGGCGTCACAACTTGCTTTTGGATTTCTTACCCTCTGTGTGGCAAAATTTATAAATCATTTATAGATGGTCAAACTTCATTTTCTTGACCCATTAGTACTATGCGATTTATTCATCACTCATTTTTATCTGTTTATGAATAGAACTTTTTATAACTTCTTCTCAAATGGAGGCTGAAACATTTAAATTTGGATAAAGTGAGAATTACATAAAAAATGGGGTAATTAATGTTTTTGTTTTCTTAAGATGATATGTTTTGAGAAGCCCCAAAAGAGAAGATGGTTCTTTTTAATACAAAGGGAGTCTTTTTACTGGTTCATATTTCATACGTGTATTTTGTTGCTCGTTTCGTGACTTGTCTTGGATTTATGTTTGTTAATCTCCATGTCATGGAAGGTTGTACTAATCAGCCATTCTACTTAAATATCTGATTTTATCCTTACCTTATACAGGACAGATTGACTGTAAGACCTGAATTTTATCCCAGTTTAAGTATTGCAGTACGCAAGATTTACAAGGATGGTGGTATTGGTGCTTTCTACTCTGGTATTTCACCCACATTGATCGGCATGCTCCCATATAGCACTTGTTACTATTTCATGTATGAGACAATGAAGAACTCATACTGTCTGGCAAAGAAGAAGAAATCTTTAACTCGTGCTGAGATGCTTTTGTTAGGAGCTCTCTCTGGTGAGAATTTACTCCACTGTTCCAAGTTTTTCTTGCATATACTAGTTTTCGTTCATTGACATTGTGATACTTCCATTTCTCATATACACTGGTGGGTCAACTAATATCTTCATAAACCCTAACTACACAAAACTGCTTCCTTCAACTATGCTGTGAACTTTGGAGTGGCTATAAATTAGGGGCATCACAGTTTCACCATTTGCCGCACCCTCAACTAAATTGGTTTTCAACATAACTCCCTGTTCCTCCGCAAAATAGATTAATCTAGAATAGACAGGCTGTCTTCATAAGCATTTAACAGCTTGATCAAGTACATGTTGATCACATTGCCAAACACTCTAATTTCTGATCTTGAAGCTTCAACTTGCAAGATGGACATGGCTTTGATATAACATGGATTCTAATGTAATTAACATAATTTTAGCATCTTACTCTTTCTTTACTGTCTAGAGCTGCCAGTTGTCCCCACCACTGTAGAAAATTTGAATTGTGACTACCCACCACCATGATCCCTCTTAATGACTGCTCATGTTTTTCAGGCTTGACAGCAAGCACGATAAGTTATCCTTTGGAGGTTGCAAGAAAACGGCTTATGGTAGGAGCTTTGCAAGGTAAATGTCCACCCCACATGTCAGCTGCACTTTCTGAAGTTGTTAAGAACGAAGGTATTAAGGGCCTATACAGAGGATGGGCTGCAAGTTGCTTGAAAGTCATGCCTAACTCAGGTATCACATGGATGTTCTACGAGGCCTGGAAAGATATATTGCTTGCAGAGAGACGTCCTTTATGAAAATCTTGCTGAATGCAAGGAATTTTGTGTTGAATGTCAACCCACAGCAAGCAACAAGGATCTGAAAGCCTGTGCCAGCAGGTGGGAGAAGAGCTCTGGTGGTGTTGGTACCATATTAATGTGGACCAGCACAATTTCTTTTTTTGAGATGTAACAATGTATAAATAAGCCACATGAAGAGTCGAATTTGATCTTTAGCTTTTGATCCCCCGGAAATCAATCTGAAATTGCATTCCTGTAGACTTTACTGTAATCCTGAAGAAGAAAAATTATAGAAACGAAGTCCATTTGACTATGAAATTGATTGACAGGCATGCAACTTGGAGTTTATTAACTGTCATTGGTTTTGTAACAATTGAATTTATGGAAGGCTTGGTACGGAACATGTTCATCATTGCCCCTTGTATCTTCAGCAGATTGGTAGTGGTGGCTAAACTCTAGATTTGGTTTCAATTTTTCCTATCAATTTGTGTGGAACAATGTGCATGCATCAATGGATTTCTTTTGGATTCATGGTGAAGCGCACATTTCTTGGTAAAATGCTGCTGAAGGACACAGTCGAGTATAAATGGGGCTTTCTCATTATATAAGAAGCTGACAATTATACATCATAGAGATGGCATAGATCCACAGTAATCATTAGCCTGGAAGAGGGTTGAGAACGTTGTGCATGGTGTGATCTTGCTAAGAAATTGTGCGACGAGCATATAGAGACGAAACAAGCATAATCCTATACAAGAAAATTACCAGATAAGCAAAAGAGAAATAAACGCTAAGTGGTTTCTCCATAATGAACTAAAATACTACAAGAGATTACTCATGTAACTGGAGGGAAGATAAAACCAAATCCAAACTCCTCTGCCTCGGAAAAATCTTCATCATGTATTCCCCTCCAACCCAACCCTGCACCTGAAGAGGAAGAGAAATGGGAGCATGTTTGACAATTCTTAAAAGTACATTTGTAGAAAGTAAATTTTGTTAGTATTTCAAGTTAATTTGAAAATTATGCTTTGTGAAAGAAATGAATTAAATGCAAGTGTAACTTTGTGTTAAACAACAGCCAAACATGCTCGACCTGTGGGAAATCACTCCCCTTTTGGGGCACTTGACCTTGGGGCTCAGACTTGAAATCCTTATTCTTCTTAGGCTCAATGAAGGCACGTAGGAGAAATCCACCAGTGGGCAAAGGTAGCAAGTCTAGCAAGAGAGGACTGATTGTACATTGTGTGGATGCTATGATAAGCTAATAAATTTATTTTGACTGTCTAACCATTAATCCTCAACTGCCACATACCACTTCAATGATTTTTTCGAAAGTCATAAAGCTACGGAAAAGAGGTCATATCAAGTAACACGACATGAGTTACACTGTCAATCTCCATAAGAAACCAACTAATAAGTTATTATCTCAAGCAACAAGAACTACAAACTAAGAGCATGTTAAGTGAGACTTACGTTGCCAAAGAGTTTTGAAATAAACTTCTCTACCCACAAAACATGCTTTCAAAAAGTAACTATAAAGTACAACCAAGCATGCTCTTAACTATTTTCCCAATAAATGTGAGGTTGACTAAATGAATTTTTTGTGTCACTTCCAAGAGAATGAAGGCATATAAGACTCACCTACATATGCAACAGTGACGCCTGAACCACTTTTCCAATGGTTACTGGCCACCATCTGATGCAAACAAAATAAGGTCCAAGATGTACGCTCCAGTCCGGTAAATTTGACAATCTTGAATTCTCCATTAGTGGCACAATTGAATGACAAACAAGGTTCAGAACTGTAGATAATTGACACTATTCCTCTTTGCGAATGTAGAAATTGAGAAAATAAAATAAAGAAAGCTTCAATGAATCTATCATGTCTTCAATTCTCCATCAGAAAGTAAATTCAAGATTTTCTGCAAATAATGTTGTACTCATTTTTTATGTACAACATTTTGAGGAATCATGTTCACGTGAAAATTTGCTGCAAATTTCCTCTTATACACACAAAATTATTTTGCTTAATTTTTACAGTAAGCATATACCAAATAATGTTGTACCAAGTAATTTTTACAGTAAGCACATGGTCATGGGAATTTATTTGCTTCAACTATCAGCCTATCTTTCTATGCATATTGTTCACGAAATAATTTTTTCGATTTAAAATTACCGCAAGTGTACGGTTCGTAACAAATAATAAAGTGAATTTTTAAAAGTCCGAATATCGTCCCTCAGAGATTGAGTAGTTCAATTCTATATAATCTAACCTTAACCGAATCTAATTGAGTGAAAATATGGTCTAAATGCAAAAAGCCCTAATTTCAATTAAAAACCCTAATTTCAACTAAAAACCCTAATTTCAATTGAAAACCCTAATTTCAAAATTAGAAACCCTAATTTTGAAATTTCTCTAATTAACTGATTCAAACACTCAAATAAATGAAATTAAGCAAGTTTAAAAGCTAATGTGTTAAAATGAATCAAACTAAAGTCACTAGGCTTCAAGTTCGTGTTCCTTGCCTCCAAAAGTTGTATTCTTCTTCTCCCTGAATGTTCTGCCCTATTTTTGATGAATTTTGGCTTTTATATGATGTCCTCACAGAGCCCCGAAAGAGTTTCAATTAAAAACGGGAAGTCAGATTTTTTTTTCTAAAATAAGGCCATGCGGCCGCATGGTTCAAATTTTCAACTCATTTGGAACCCTGCTAGACCCTGTGCAGCCGCAAGGAATTATAACCATGCGGCCGCATGGTTATAAAATTTTTCCTCTGAACAGCTTTCAGTATTTTGGTAATAACTTTCTCTCCCGATCTCCGATTGAAGTGATTCAAAGTGCATTGGGAAGAAAACTCAAAGATATACACTTTTGATAGAAATAGGCTTCCTCAAATTCTGATGTTTACTATGCCAAAAATGGATTTTAAGTGGAGACTCAAAATCACGAGCATAACTTTTTTGGCCTGAAATTTGATACTTGATAATATTTCGACCATATTTCACCTCTTGACTCCTTTCCTCATCCGATTGAACTTTAACACTCTTGAATCTTCATTCCATTTCCCGTCTCATCTATGAATTATTTGCAACTTAGTCCTCGAACTATTGCTTTGTTCCGTTTTGATCATTTTTCGGTTCTTTTCTTCTGAATTCCATCTTTTCCATAGAAACACCTACATAGCATGAATTTAACAAGATTAAGTCATAATTCAACTACTTTGTCCATGTTTAAGTCATATTTGTGAGCTAAATAAGTGTGTAAAAACACATTTATCACATAGACCAAATAATGTTGTGTAGAAGAGGGAAATTTACCACAAATAGTTAAAGATGCTTAATTTTCAACCTATAAAATGTTGTTCATTTTCATAAAGTTGAGCCTCCGAAAAGTGTGTATTGCTTAGAAAATAGAAACCTACCCTCATAAAGAAAATGTCTTCATCGTTTTTTAGAAACAATCACGTGACTAACTTTTGAAAAATATATTCCGTGAAAAGAATTTACAATCAAACACACCCTAGTGTAGCAACATTCAAACTTGGAACAAGCATAGAGATTGGAGAAGATTAAGGTTTCGAGAAATTGTCAAATTAAAAGTGGCATGAATTTATAGTATTAAACTGAATGAAATTAATAAGGATGATGCTGGAATAAAACGTGAATGAATATAATACTTTTAAAAAAAAAATTAAAACTTTATTGGAATTAAATTTATAGAGTAATATTGGGAAACAAGAGTGGTGGATTAAAGTAGCAACGTTCTTTTTTAATCATGAATCAGTCGGTTTTGAAAATAAGGCCCTGTTTGGCTTGGCTGAAAATCATATCTTTAATAAATTATAATAAAAGTTGGTGAAATACACATGTAAAATGTTAATAAAAGTTGTGAATTCAATAAACTATTTTGCTGAAATAAATTCCAAAAAAATTAAAAAATTAAAAAATTAGGGGCAAACAGGCTAAATCGACTAAGAATTCATTCTTAGTCGATTTTATATTTTTATTGCATTCTAGAATTTCAATTTTTGATGAATGTATTCCCAGTTGAACTGATCCTTCAAATCCCATTATTATATAGAAATAAATTAAAATATTGTCTATCATACCATCCATTACTACACCAAACATGCACATTCGAGGCTAATCCACGGGGCTATCACGAATTTCCAGTTCACTTCACTTGAAAAACTACCTACCAAATATGAGTTAAGAAGCCGAATTTTGTCAAACTGTTTTTGGCAAGCAATTACTTATTATCATCTGTTGCTACACTTTGGAGATATATACTACAAATATTTACATGAAATTTCATATTAAGAAACACGACGCCTTCTGTAAGGAACGCGACATGACAGTGTGCCATGTTCTCTCCAGCTGCTGTGACAAATCACAGAAAAATTGCCAATACCAGGCAGTTTATGGATCAGATATTCCTCTCTCTGCATCAAAACAATCAACGGTAGATCAAATATAATTGAAGGGCTACTGGCAAACAAGCATGTTGGCTATGCAGAAAGTTCTAAAATAAATCAACTTTTTTCCTTGGTCAGTTGAAAAATAAGCATGTAAATTATATTGAGACCAAGGAAAAGCTACTTTCGAAAGATGTACTTTTTTACTTAGGAAAAAGTAATGTATCAAACAATGCTCTAACTAACTTTTATCTTAGCCAAATATCTCTATACATTGATTCTTGAGATTCTGTAACTTAAACCAAAATTACCAAGCTAGATATCCTCGCCTTCACCATATAATTCTTCAAACCGAGCAACTATATGCTTTCCGTAGGTGTACTTCTTCAAAGCAAGATGATGAACCTTGATTCGGTCGAGTAAAAGTTCCCGTTGTTTATCATTGCTAATTTCAAGAATCTTCAGGACCACGTAGTTTGCATATTGGTCCATCATTGTCTACAACATGAAAGCAAATCAGCACAACGAAAACAGGCTCCATAATTAAGTTTGTGATATTCATTGCCAACAGCTTCGGTAAAAGAAATCGGTAAAGAAAATTCAATGGCCAATTATTTTCACAACAATGAAAACATACATGATGGCAGACACTAATGTTTATAAGAGTTAGAGAATGTAGTTCGACTTCAGTAATAACCTAAATGAATCCTGCCAGTCACCACCAGATGGATATCCACCAGGAATTTGCACCAATCAAATAATATCAGTACACGGCGCCCCACCATATTTGAGGGTGCACAACGCCGCCAGCAAAAGTCGTAATGTATCAAACAATGCTCTAACTAACTTTTATCTTAGCCAAATATCTCTATACATTGATTCTTGAGATTCTGTAACTTAAATTACCAAGCTAGATATCCTCACCTTCACCATATAATTCTTCAAACCGAGCAACTATATGCTTTCCGTAGGTGTACTTCTTCAAAGCAAGATGATG